GTTATTACACCACACTTGCATCCAGTTTAGCTCGCCATGATTAAAAAGATTGAGACTCTAAAAAGTGCAGAGAAGAACAAGAAAGATGACTAGGAGACTGGAGACTAAAACATATAAAGAACATTTGCAGGAATTGGGTATGTCTAGTTTAACAAAAAGAAGGACTAGGGGTGACATGACAGCATGTCATGTCTCAGGGCCTGCCACAAAGAAGAAAGCGTCAATCTATTTTCCTGAAACACTTGAAGGCAGCAGAACAAGAAGCAATGGATGGAAACTAATCAAGAAGAGAACTAAGAAGAAATTTCCTAACAATTAGAACAATTAATCAGTAGAATAATTTGTCTCCAGAAATTGTGCGTGCTCCAAAAGTGGAAGATTTTAAGAAGAGATTGGACAGCCATTTTTCTGAAATGGTATTGGGTTTCCTGCCTGAGCAGGGGGTTGGATTAGAAGACCTCCAAGGTCCCTTCCAACTCTTGTTATTCTGGTAATAGTACTGCAATATCATAAAAGGTTTGTCACAGTGTAATTAATAAAATAAAACTTGTTCACTCTTTTTTTTTACTTCCTTTGTTTTATTGATTTTATTGAGTAGTCACTATTAAGATTAAGATAACCTTGTAATTTTTTTTCTGTGGGTACTCTGGCACACATTAAAAACAAAATCCTGTTGTCTGCTCTCAGAAGAGTACACCTACATAACACAGATATATATATATATGCTATCTACATATGTATATACCAACACTATCCACCTTGAATACAAAGTGAAAAGAGGAGGGTGCTTGAGAGTTCACAAAGTTAATATTATATGGAACAGAACTTTGGCTGAATCTGGATGTCCTGAATATTCTCATACACGTTACTTATTTTCAGAAATTTAGGCTATTCACAATTCAGTATTTTGTGCTTGGATTTCTTTGCCTTATGTTCAGTAATCTATTCAGTATCAGTAGTCAGTTATTAGCCAGTTTTACATAATTTGGGATAACATTTTTGTTTCTCTTATTGATTGCAGGTAGAACATGAACAAAGGAAACTGAAAAGCAGTCAGAGACTTTTCTGTAAATTTTGAATATTCACAAGCTGACTCTGGGTCACAAAAGATTCTCTCCATTTCAAAGGTTTGAACATACATACATACATACATACATACATACATACATACATACATACAAACATACAAAATGTTTATGCCACCCATGTCACCAAAGGCAGCTTGTAATCATTAAATAAAAATGCTACATAAAACAATAAACAGAGATTTTANTCAGGTCAGTCAACTTTTCAATGAGAATTCCTGGTAAGATGGTGTTAAAGGCTGAGCTATAGTCTATAAAAAGCATTCTGATATAATTCCTAGATTTCTCAAGGTGGCTCAGTGCAATATGTAGAGCAGTGGCGATGGCATCCCCTGTCGACCTGTTGCTTCTATAAGCAAAGTGGTGTTGATCAAAATTTGGTATTTGTATTGTATAATTGTATATTGTATAAATTGTATAAAATTTAATATACAAAGCAGTGATTAAAACAGTAACCATTTTCAGGTCCATTTTTTTCTGCTTCTAGCTTGTTCTCTTGTATTAATCTTCAGAGATGGAATAGTTCTTGATAAATTAGAAATATGTCACAATGGACATAAAAATTATTACTCAACTTCTGAATTATTAATAGGATTTTAGGAATCATCAAACAGAATTGCTTGATTCATATGCTTAAGTGTAATTTAAAGATTTTCTCCATCTATAGCTGCCTTCTAGTGAATATTTTGAATAGATAACTTATGTATATTTGGAAGTGATATATTTTAGCAAACATTTCATTTTTAAAAAATGACAAGCAATTTTGTGCAGGATTTACCATTGAATGAATGCTGCCTCTTTTTGCATTTCAGAATGAGCGGAGCACATTACAAATGACCAAAGAAAAGCTCACACGGGAGTTGGAGCTTCTTCAGGAATCAGTCAAAGTTTCAGAACATCGAGCAAGTGCCCTGGAAAAGATGAATGAATCCCTGGAGCAAGAGCTTCAAACAGCTCTCTCCACTCTCAGAAATAAACAGGAGGAAAGTGAGACTCATCAAAAGAGATTTGTGGCTTTGCAGAAAGAGGTAGAGGTAGGGAGAACACTTCAGGAAATTGTGGATCAGCTCAATGTTACTTTAGAAAAGAGAAATGAAGAAATAAAAGACCAGCTAGAGCAAGTTAAGGATTTAGAGAATCACAGAGAAATGCAAACAGCTGCCTTAGAGCATCTCACTAAAAATCTAGAAAACAGAAGCAAAGAAATTGACTCCCAAAAAATGCAGATTGAAGAAATGACAATACAAGATAAGACACAAAAAGCCAATCTCAGGAAATTAAATCTAGATCTAGAAGAGACCGTTCAGACTTTGAAATTCCAAGAAGAAAAGCTTCAAAAACTACAAGAGTTATCAGAAGGCCAAAAAACAATAATTGAAAGCCTATCTCTGAATTTGGAGGAAAAAAATCAAGGAAGCTAACATCAAAGAGGAGAAAATTCAGATTATAGAACATAATGAATCAGCACAAATTGGGGCTTTGCTGAAAGATATAGAAGACCTGAAAATTAAGATGAATGAAAAAGATTGGGAACTTGCATCTCAAAAACAGCTACTTCAAGAATGGGAAGAACAAGGGGGAAAGCATGAAAAAGCTCTTTGTACAAGCCTAGAACACATGAAAGCCATTATTAAGGACAAAGAAAGGGAAATAGATTCCCAGAGGGAACAGATATCAAATTTCCAATGGCTTGAAGCTCAGAAGGAAGAGCATATCAGTGAGCTTTCTGAGAAGCAGAAGCAAATGACATTGACCCAGACCCAAAGAGAACAAGAGCTCAAGGCAC